TTTATCCCTTCAAAATGAAGAATTGACGACGCTTCAGTCCATCCTGGACCATTATTAAGCCATGTGTGGAAACAGTGGAAGAGATAGACAATATAAGGTAAGGATCCCGGTAGTACGGTAGTCGGTACGGTATAGGGGAGCCGGTCGGCCGAGCGGACAGCACGCTGGACTTGTGATCCTGTGGTCCCGGGTTCAATCCCAGGCGCTGGCGAGAAACAATGGGCAGAGTTTCTTTCACCCTATGCCTCTGTTACCTAGCAGTAAAATAGGTACCTGGGTGTTAGTCAGCTGTCACGGGCTGCTTCCTTGGGGTGGAGGCCTGGTCGAGGACCGGGCCGTGGGGACACTAAAAGCCCCGAAATCATCAAGATAACCTCAAGATAGTCAGTTTCGTTCTCGATGAACAATCGAGAATTCCGGGTTCGAATCCCGAGCAGGACACAAATGGTTGGGCACATTTCCTTTCACCTAAAGCTCCTATTCACCCAGCAGTTTAAGTAGGTACTCTTGAATTAGTCAGCGTGTTATAGGGTTGCATCCTGGGCAGGGTCAGTAATTTATTCTGGCTTCCTGTCCAGAGTAAAAGTATGTCCAGAATTATTATTATTATATAGGAGATGAAAGGTGGGATGAATGAAAGATAATATGATGGAAGGTAAGAATAAGATGAACAATAGGATGAAAGGAAAGAATAAGTGTAAGAAAAGAGAAAACTTAAGAATAGAGAACTAGAGTGTCTGGTGAAACAAAGGTTAGACAGGAAGAATAGGAAAAAGAGGGTACTGTATACATAAAGTTAGAAGACAAAAGAAAATGGCAGGACGCTAAAGGTGAAAGAAAATTAATAACAAAAACAGGACAGGAAAGAGCGTAGAGGGGGGCAAAGATATGTCAGACCTGTAGCGAGTACACAACATACTCGCTCCACTCATTACCTTAATGACAAACTCATTAGCAGTAATTACGATTACTCAAATCTTTTCCCTAATTTCAGGGAACGTTCCTTTCATCCTATTGAAGGAAGCTGAGGTGTAGTCCAATAATATAAGCAATCAAGAAGCAAGTAATCAACGGGCTCACCATAGCCCGTGCTACATGGACATTTCGTTCCGAGTAGCTAAATCTAAAAACAATAACAAGTAATTTCCAGTGATTCGGTTAACTTCAGATTTGTACAGACGCTTCGGAGTTACCACACCTCTTCAACCTCAAGAATGTAGCACTCGGCGTATGCACTTTTAATCGACCCCAAGACACTCCAGATTCAACAGAGTAGACAGCAGACTACGATCGCATCGAGTTTAGACACTCACGATTCCCCATCGAGCCGCCACATTCGCCTGTATCAAGCTCCGCAACTCCGGCCTCACTCATCTCTGTGCTCTGCTCTAAGTTTTGTCTCAACATCTACGACACTGCCAACAACCGACTGTTGTAACCAAGACTACTAAAATATAAAAGCCCACTTAAACACTGTATCTAATCTACCCAACAACGTAACAATTGTACGTTACAGATCCTATTTGTTAAGAAGGTTAGAGCATTTAAGTATTCACTGTACTATGAAAGGGAAAAGTCATCCACAACAAAGCCTGGACTATAGTTCATGTTGGGCATGTTGTGTATCGGGGCAGTTTGAATATGATTGCATCTAAAGAGTAGAGGCAGGAAAGGTTTTTTTTAAAGGCCAATCTATAGGATGGTTAACGTTTCTAACTTGATGGAAGACAGCATTAGCAATCTGGCTACTCCCTCCTTTCCTGTGGGCTTCTGCCCCCCCATCCTGGACCATTATTACTCCCCTCTCTCCATGCACTTTGCCCCTCTCCCTCTACACCATTTCTCTTGCCTTGGTCTATTAATGACATTAAACACAACTTAAACTGCCCAACAAGAAAATCTTACTTTGGTCAAATGCTGCATCTTCCACATGGTTACAATCCACTGCATTACAATCACAGATTACAACACTTGAGCAATTGTCAGGCAAACTCTTATTTAATCCATTAAAAGTTTTAGATATTTAAACCACCTATTATTGTTCATCTTAACTGCACTGCCTTACTGCCATTCAGAATATTACTGTACCTGATGAGTGCAACAACCAGTCACCACATATACCCGGCCTTCACTATCATTTGCTACTCAAGCCTCCAATACACAGCTTCCTCACACTTTGCTTCAGATACTCGTGTACGTCGTCTTCAACTTGTGTCTCGGGTACATATTGCTGCTACAGACTAACTTATGGGGTATATCAGTAAAGAATTCCTTGATCATACTATATATACTCCACAGCTTTACAAATGCAAGTGTTTAAAGATGTTTTACAAAATATACACAAATAGGATGAATAGAAATATGCAGTATGCTAACCTTTTGGAATATAAATTTCAAATACAGTACAGTACGTAGTTGGGAAGAGTTCAGTAATTTCCCTACCAATTAACAGACCAAAGTACAAACGTAACCTGCAGTAAACCACTGCACATCAAAAAAGCAACTACTGCCATGAATTACTGGGTTCCAGAATGCCTTAACAATAATACTGGATACAATTGGTGGGGACTGCTGGTCTAGCAACGCGAGACTAGAAAGTCACTGCAGATGAGCAAAAATCAATAGGGCCAACATCCACCGACCAAGTGCATGCTTTCTCTCTCTCCCCAAGTGTTCCTTACTCTGCTAGGTGGCCTTTAATTATCGTTTTAAATTATTACCTGAACAAGACATGCCAGATTAATTAGTGAACAGCATGGCTGGTGAAATTCCCGTATAAGTGGGGTGGTATAACCACAAATGTTCTCGGTCAAAGACTGGCACCTGTGAAGAAACGTTACAAAACCTATTTTGAACACCTAAAGAAACACCTATTCGAACCCTCGTCATGGCCCTTGTGGATTTGTCCATTTGATGCATCACGCTATTGTGATTTCTGTGTGTATTGGCACCTGTGTTTTCCAATACCCGAGCACCACACTAAATCGCCTACATTTTTTTGCACGATACCTACGACTAGAACATGGATAATTTTATATATATAACTCATCTTTCCATGCTATAAATTCTTCACTAAAGTTATTTATTATGGGTTTATGACCAATTTAATCATAACTAACTAGGTGGCCAGACACTGGTAACTACATTCTATACGCACTGAAAAGACCATACAAGTAAAAAAGGATGTGCTAAACCTAAAATATAAATAAGCTGACTAAGATGGAGTGCTAATAATGAATGTCAATGCTGAATGAGATTGGGTGCCAAACTATTAAATTAACTGCGATGTAATTATGGTAAGGAACACATCTAAACTTGTATATTTTTTTTTGCTTAGTAATAAAGGCTTTTATTATTTCTCTATCATTACTGTATCAGTGTCTCACTCATAACGTATACACTGCAACATATTTCAATGCAACAAGTCTTCACTGTTGAATTTATTCACTTATTATGTGCATGGCTAGACAAAAATCAAAGAAAACCCCAGTGATATACTTTTTGTTTAATTTGTTGAACTAAACTGCAAATCAAATACAGTAAGTCTGGGAGGGATGTGGGTTCTGCTCCCTGACTGGTAAAACACATTCTGACCTACGAAAGTATTATGGTTTTCCAGAGTTTGCCTTCAATCGATAACACTTTGGCTGTTGACATGACATCAATATAGTTCTAATAGTTTTCTGTAACAATCTGTCAAACGTACAGCTTGAGTCAGCAAATCAAGATATTCAGAAGCTACAACGAGAAACCAGTGAAAATTAAGATGCTCTTTATTTTACTTACCATTTATTCTAAAGGCTTGGAAATCTAACAACAATATACAGTACATACTGTTAAATACAGAATACTGTACACAAAAAAACTTTGCAAACATAAAACTGGCTATTCATCTAGGAAAAAATATGCCAGATAAATAGCCAAATGGTTAAACTAAAACACACAAACCAAAGCCCAACCCCTGCAAGCATACGCAAGCGCCCGCACACCTGTATGGTGTGCGAATCTCAAGCAGCACATAAATAAACTGGAAAAGGTGCAACAGCATGCTACTAAACATGCCAAAACTAGAACATAGATGATAAAAAGGTGATATGATCACCACTTACAAAATGCTAATAGGAATCTACCAAATTGAGAGAGGAATTCCTGAAACCAGCAACTTCATGAACAAGACATTGATTCAAGCTAAGGCAACAAAGGTGCCGAAAAATATTAGAAAGTTTTCTTTTGCAGAGTGGTAGACAGCTGGAACAAGCTAAGGGTGGTGGTGGAGGCCAAAACTGTCAGTAGTTTCAAAGTGTTATACAACAGAGTACTGGGGAGACAGGACATCATGGGCATAGTTCTCATCCTATAACTACACTTAGGTAATTACACACACAAAACATTGCACAAGGAACATATGCTGTGCTTTCCAACTTCAGAATCACTCAATTACATGGCCAGTGAAATACTAGTGTTCATGACTTTTTGCGAGGCAAAAATTGGAATACGCAGCATTGTATGGTGCCCATATTTTAAGCAGCACATTAATAAACTGGAAAAGGTGCAGAGGCATGCTACAAAATGACTTTCAGACCTGAAAAACATGAGTTATGAGGAGAGGCTAGATAAATAAGCCGTTAAATATGCCAAAGCTACAAGATAAGAGAGGTGGTATGATCACCACTGAAAATAATAATGGGAATTGACCATATTGACAAGGAGGAATTCCTGAAACTGGTGACCTCAAAAACAAGGTCACAGATTCAAGCTAAGGAAATGGGTGCCAAAAAAAAATTATTAGAAAGTTTTCTTAGTAAATACAGTGGTAATCATATGGAACTAGTTAGGTGAGAAAGTAGTGGAATATCAAAACTGTCGTTTTCAAAGCGTTATATGACAGTGCAGTACTGGGAAAATGGAACAAAAGTGTAGCTCTCATCCTGTAACTACACTTAGGTTAGACAACAACACAAATAAAAGCAGCATACAGTGAACTGAACTTTGATATTTACCTGGTAGGTGTTGTCAAAGGAATCATACATAAACCTCGTGATGAGTGAAGTTTTCCCAACTGGAAAAGAACGAAATAACATTAAAACCTCTACCATCATTAAAATGTACATGGATGTGCTGAAAGTTATGTAGTACAGTAGGCTACTGTACCTATTTACTCTACTGAACATATAATGGACAAAAGAAATAATGACATTCTTCCACGAGTGCTGCATATATTTTAGAAGGTGATATCATGAATTGTAAACCTAATACTTTATCTTTATGGCAATGAAGGTAAGTTACAGCATTCAGAATACACCATTTTAAATTCTTGTACAAATCTGCCTTGGTTATCGAGTTTGCACAGTACAGTATCAACTGTACTTTAACCAGTACAAGACAAGAATAACCAAAAAATATCACCAAACAATATTAAACTCTTAGCAATTACCAAAAAATTTGTCTCCGAACATTGGTATACCTGGTTCTAGTGTAGGATACTCCTAGAAAGCCAATGTCCACACACACACACACACACCCCCATCAAGCCCAACATCCAGGTACAGTACACGTTATTTTTTAAGTGTTGCTTAATAGTAATTGAAATGAAGGGAAGTAAAATATACATCATAATATATATGGTTATAGAGGTAAAATTCTAACTGGGTAATATGTCTTGTCATCTGGATACTGACACCAGGGTGCCTGGACACAAGATGCAGAATAAATCCTGACACTTTTTTGTTACTCTCTGTGGGTATTCTTGATAGGGGTCGGATTCTACCAGTGAGATGGTAGAATCCAGGTAGAATAGATGAGATTCTACCAGATGAGAATAGGAAGCTGGTGGCTTGATAAAGGATTTTATCCAGCTGGATTATGAATTGCAGCAATATTTTGGCATTTGCAGTTTAGGCAGGTAGGTGGTACCTTGGGTATTAGCCTGATGAGTGAAAAAGCATTATTTTTTTTTTACCCCCTGCATTGTCGTCCAGAGATTGCCTGAAAAGGAGTTTCAGTGGTAGATATAGTTCATTTGCCAGTTTTGTTACAACTTTGGATTGAATTCCATCCTATGATTTTCTCTTAGATGGACTCAACATTACAGAAATTTTTGGAGCCATGAGAAAACTATCAAGGATACTTGAAACCAAATTCTTTGCTTTTTCATTATGAGTTGGCAAGGTTTTTGTTCAGACATGACCCTACTATTTTTCATATACTGTACTACCATTTGTCATATATTGACCAGACCACACACACTAGAAGGTGAAGGGACGACGACGTTTCGGTCCGTCCTGGACCATTCACAAGTCGATTGTCGAGAATGAGAATGGTCCGACTTGAGAATGGTCCAGGACGGACCGAAACGTCGTCGTCCCTTCACCTTCTAGTGTGAAGTCTGGTCAACATACTTTAGCCACGTTATTGTGACTCATCGCCTGCATGTGTCATATACTTCAAAGACATAGATGAGGATATTACAAACCACTTCTAATTTGCAGATGACAGATTTATGGTACAGTTGGAAATAAAAATGATATTGAAGCCTTATAAAGAGATCTACATGAACTCCACAAATGATCAGAAGACTGGCATATGCTTTTTAATGTTGACAAATGCAAGACTTTGCACCCATGTCAATTACGAAATTAAAAACAACCAGGTGCCTTGCAACAGATTGAAGATAAGGATCTTTGAGTTAAAATCCACCACTCACTGAAAGTTGCACAACAGGTAGAAGCAGCACTTTGAAAGAAAAAAGCTAACCAAACTCTAGAAATACTGAAACGTACCTTTGACTAAGGAAAAGAAGGTAGTAATTCAATTGTATAAATCTGTATTAAGGTCTTCATATACAAGGGATAGAAGGGATAGAGTGGCAGGGAAAACGTGGGAACCATGGAGGTAGTTTACCGAGTATCAAGAAAAGTATGCAAAGTGCATTTAAGAAAGGGAGAGGTTATAATCATCAGATTTTAAGAAAGCTTGCTTTAAAGTTTCTAGAAAGGAGGAAAAGTTGATACTGGCTTTATAGATTTAGGAAAAAAATGGACTGTAATTGAGTTAATCATGAATTGAGAAGTTTTAAATATCTGATGAAAATCATTTTGTGTGAATACAGCATGAAACAGGATTTTACAGTTTGGCTAAGCAGTGGCACCCTGGATCATATGGATGGGTTAGTTACGGATTTGAAGACACTTTGAGCGGGAGTGAACTCATGGGGATAAACTGTTACTGGCATGTATGAATATTGCAGTCTCCGTGGTGTAGTGGTAAGACACTCGCCTGGTGTTCCGCGAGCGCTATGTCATGGGTTCGTATCCTGGCCGGGGAGGATTTACTGGGCGCAATTCCTTAACTGTAGCCTCTGTTTAACGCAACAGTAAAATGTGTACTTGGATGAAAAAACGATTCTTCGCAGCAGGGGATCGTATTCCAGGGACCATAGGATTAAGGACTTTCCCGAAACGCTACGCGTACTAGCGGCTGTACAAGAATGTAACAACTCTTGTATATATCTCAAAAAAAAAAAAAAAAAAAATATGGGTGATGCCATGTTCATTGCCAGCAGTGAGAAGTTATGGCAAAATGATGTGCAGTTATAAGTGTTATTAAATTAAAAGCATCTTATGGAGAAACTTCTACATTACTCACTCCATGATGGGAGCTTTCTGGAGAAAGTAAGGCATTGGAACTAAATTACAGAGATGTGTGCCAGTAAAATTAGTGTGGCTAGACCAGGCAGGACCAAAGATATGGTAACATTGACAAGAAAGGTTAAATTTATGTGGGAAAATAATAAATAATGGGAATGAAGAGACTGGGAAATGTGCGATGTAAGGAGCAGTGTGAAAAGAACTCTAGTATGAATTTAAAATTGCATTGCCAGGTGGTGCATTTTTGTGGCAATTAATAGGAGATAAATGCTAATAGGCTTATATTTAAAGGATTTAGATCAGGCAGTATTCAGTGAAAAATTTACTCTCCAAAAGATAACCCTAGGAATGGTCAAACTTTTGACTTCAAGGAAAAGGAAGTTATTCAAGTAAGTATATTATCTGATGCATCCCCACTTGGATTACTGTATCCAAGCATGGAGACTTCATCTTCAGGAGGACATAGCTGCTTTGGAGTAAGTTCAACATTGGGCAACAAAAGTCATTTCCGAAGTAGACAGACTCCTATACCAGGAAGAGTTGTGGGCTAAAGGGCTAAGAACACTGCAAACCAGACACGACAGGGCTGGTCTCATCGAAACTTAAAATTCTGAACAATTTGGAGCATATTGATCCAGTCAACTTTAAAAGGTCATATGTAACAACTATGGAGCAACAGTTTCAAGCTCAAGTCACAATATAGGGCAGAAAACAGGAGATGCTGCTACACCCTGCCTACCCGTCGAAGCTGTAAATGCCAAAACTGCCATATTTCAAAATCCAGCTTCATATAATCATGACAAATGGGAGAGACCTTAGACAAGCCAATGGCTTCATGTCCTCATCAAGGCCACTAAAAAGTGATATTGGCCCTCAGACAAATTTGGATAAAAACTTATTTGTTATATTTTAGTGTGTAGAAGACTACCAGTTACACGAGAACTACAGGACTAACACTGCAAACCAGATGTGACGGCTAATCACACCGAGACCTTTAAAACACTGAGCAAATTGGAGGATATTAATCCAGACGACTCTGAAAAGGTCAAAGAGGTGAAATACAAGGGCTTTAAGGTCATCAAACCATAATGTAGGATGGAAAACCTGTATTTTTTTCCCCCAGAGGGTTATAAATCCACAGAACCACCTACCTGACAACTGTAAATGCCAAGACATTACTGCAGATCAAAAATTAGCGCACACAGACCCTTATATTAACCCAGCCGTTCATAACCAAGAATAACCTAACAAGTCTAGGGAGTATCTACAAAAAAGACTGACTAGAAGCATGGGAAGAGTTGTAGAGGGATGAAACTTTCCACGACACGATCATTACACCACAACTACGACTCCTGTGAGACAATAGAGTATCCCACCAGTAGGGAGCTTCACCACCCTGACCCCCAACAGTCAAATAATCAATTCACACGTCAATAAACCCAAAACAGCCCTGCCAATAGCAGCCAATGATCCTGCGCCGGTCTAAACTACATCCTCCATAGGTTTTTGATTAATAAATCCATTTTATTGATGGTGACAAAGGCCCCGAGAGGCGAGGCCGGTGGTGTGGCGCCGCGAGCGACACCACCAGCCACGCCCTTCCCTGCCACACCTCCCCAGGGGACAATATTGTACCAGGATAAAGGATATATGATGTAATTAAGGGCGTATTGCGACGGGCGGCTCCGTGTCAGAGTAGGCGGCGCCGCCCAACAACCAGCTGATTCACGAAAATCAATGCCACGTCCGCACGCCCTAGATACAGGCTAACTGCGCTCTTCTGCGCCCTCCTCCGGCCGCCTGCCGTCTTTCAGACACTCCCAGGGCTACAAACTCGCTCAAGAATGTCCACAAGGAGCCCCAAAAGAGCCCCCGGAGGGCGTAGAGCCCCCACATACACCAGTACTCACCGCTCTGCTCCCCAAGGAACACCAGCTTGAACTTCCTCAGTGGGTTTCCGAATTCGCCCGACATGGACATGCTATTGTTTTGCGTTATTAGATAAATTTTGTCCTAGTGACCGCCGCCGCCACGGGTCGGAACCACAGGGCAAGAGGGGAAGGGGGGAGCAAGTTAACACGGGGTGGAGCTACTCCGTCACGACGCCCACACCGCCACGTACTGACTCGCAGCGCTTCCGGTGAAATGTCTAGCTTGCCTCACCAGCCCCCAGGTGGCAGCACCTGCACTACGGTCCCCTGTCATGGCTAGCTAGGCTACGGTCTCCCTCCTCTTACATGGCCAACCCAACAACTCCTTCTAGTCCTCGCCCACTCTTTACAGCGTTTGAGAGGAAACTTAAATTATTAGTTATTTTTTTTGTATTTTAATGTATTTGTTTAGCTTGTAACTTTACAAAAGTAACTTTACAAAAAGTAAGTAAGTAACTAAGTAACTTTACAAAAACTAGTTATTAATCAGAGAATCAACTACGTTCGTGTTTTTCTTTTTATTATTTTTATTTCCTTATTCTATTTATTATTATACAAGAAGGTACATTGAATTATGAGAGTACATTGCATTGAAGTTCTTACATTCTTGCAAAACCACTAACACGCATAGCGTTTCGGGCAGGTCCTTAATCTAACAGGGGAAAAGTAAGAGTAATTAAAATGCACATTCTAACAGAATTTGATTTCAATATAATAACTCAAATAACAAAATACAGTAATGATTATACTGCTAATGTTGCATGTCTTGAGTATTAAAGTAGGTGACTTTGAAACACAAGGTAGGAAACTATGAAAAATGAAATTAGGTATTTTATGGTTTTACTTCTGAATAAAGCAGAGGTTGGACCAGTTTTTAATTCATTGGGAAGTGAATTCCCTAGACTAGGTCTTCTTATATGCATGGAGTGTTTGGACATATTTATTCTGATTCTTGGGATATCAAAGAGATATTTATTTTTGGTGTGATGCTCATGGGTTTTATTACATATATTAAGGAAAAGTTTTAGATCAAGATTAGTATATAAGAACAAGGTTTTGTACATGTAAATAGCACAAGAGAATGTGTGGAATGAGTGTATGTTTAGCATGTTTAGGGATTTAAACAGAGGGGCTGTGTGTTGTCTGAAGACAGAGTTTGTTATAGTTCTGATAGCAGATTTTTGCTGAGTGATGATGGGCTTCAGATAATTTACAGTGGTTGAACCCCCATGCATAGATAATATATGTTAAATAAGGATAGTTAGCGAGTAGTATAGTGAAGGGAGAGCAGATGACGTGCATAATATACTCAGGTAAATAATATCTCATTTTATAGAGTATACCGACAGATTGTATACTAATTATAGATTTTCAATTGATTATTTCATTAAAATGGTGTTTGAATAATTAGAATTAGGCTATTTATCAATGTATACAATTCTGTAGATAAGTAACTTACTGAAGGTTTTGCGAATTAATATTTTTCTAGAATTTCCTTTACGTTTTCTTTGAAAGATATTACCATAGAAAATGACAAAGTTTATAGCAGTGACTTGTGTATAAATTTGTACCTATTGTGGATGTTTCTTTTTTACAAGAGATGAGAAAACGCCCATGTTCTCACGTGGTAATTTGCTTGCAGCATGAGACGAAAATTTTTTAAATATATAAAGGTGAGATAGTCCATGACCGATAACAGAGCGAGAATTTTACCTGAATTTATCTATGCACCATCATCTATAAAAGTCTTGATGAGAAAAAGGAAGCCGATAGTTCGTGAAAAAGTTCTCCAATTATTCCTGAATATTTTTTCTAGCTGAATTTTAAACTGGAGTAATGTCTTGCCATCTTTGGCGTCGTTAAGTATAGTCAATTCCATGGGCTGATCCTATGGGTGAAAATCATCTTTTGTTAACATAGATCTGCGATGATTTTTTTTCGCTACGTGAATTGAACTTTTTTTCAAAGCCGATATGTTCTTTTGAAGGTGAAGTCTCCATATTTGGATACAGTAGTCTAGAGAGGGTGCCTCTGAGATTTTAGGAGTTGAAACACCACTTTCCTTTCCTTGAAGTTAGCTGCAGTTTTACATTTCAAGTTCTCTCCCGATTCCATGTATGTGAGGCGGGGTTGTTGTTGGTGTTAAAGATTCGCTACCTGGAACAAAGTTCCAAGTAGCACGGGCTATGGTGAGCCCGTAGGGAAGGCGGGACCCCAAGAGGCAGAGCTCAGCCCCCGCAAGCACGGGAATGTTAGATGAGCTTGTAGCTAGTTTTTGATCTACACTGTGTAATCTTTCATATAGAATTGGGTAGCAGCACATTGATGTGTATACTTAAACTTGTTAATAAAATAAAAGTCAATTGATCACTAATCCTAATTACCTTTTCCTGATCTATATGTTGTTCATGTGGCAGTTATCTGCAATTGTAATCAATCTACGTTGCAAGCTTGAGTAACCAAGCAACAGAATTATACATTTTTAATACAGGAAAAGGGAGAGATGGAGTTGAAATATTTTTAGGGTGTGGTTGGGTGAGGTGTTGCGTGTTTCACCTTGATAAGCGGCGTAACCAACCGAGGCACAGGGACGGGGGTGTGGTCCCATGATGATCATGCTGCTCTCCTTCCTTATATAATAATAATAATAATAATATATTCACAAGAAGGTACAATGGGTTGGTGACATTACATAGGTATTTGATTTGATTCTGCCCGAAACGCTGCGCGTGCTAGTGGCTTCACAAGACTGTAATTACCATTTTATGTATCCTCACATTCCCAATGTACCTTCTTGTATATGCATAAATAAAATAAAATAAAATAAATTTGTACATTCTTGCAAAGCCACTATAACGCATAGCGTTTCGGGCAGATCCTTAATCTAACATATTAGGCAAGATGAAAAGGTACAGTGTAGCAAGGTTTTGTATCAACAAATACCTACACTATAAGTTGACAGAGGTGGGTACACTGGTACAGATATATGTCTTATGTACTTATAATATTAGGGAAGTGGGTAATACAAGATACAGCGTGAGTTTGAAGCTCAAGGTGGGAAACTATGAGGATGAAATTAGATACTTTTTTGGGTTTACTTTTCAATAGAGTATAGGTTAGATAATTGTTTAATTTATCAGAGTTCTAAATACTGGGTTCTTTATTTTGCATATAGTTTGCACAGATTTAGTTTGACTCTAAGGATATCAAAGATATATTTATTTCTGGTCTGGTGCTCATGGGTTCTATTACATCTATCAAGGAAAAGTTTTAGATTAAGATTAGCATTTAGGAACAAAGTTTTGTACATGTAAGTAGCACATGAGTATCAGTGGAGTGTATATTTAGTATGTTAAGGGTCTTAAACAGAGGGGCTGTGTGTTGTCTGAAGACAGAGTTTGTTATAATTCTGATAGCAAATGTTTACTGAGTGATGATAGGCTTGAGGTAATTTGCAATGATTAAATCCCATGCACAGATAGTGTATGTAAAGTAGGGGTAGATTAGTTCGTAATATAATGAGAGGAGAGCAGAGTGGGGAAGATATTATCAGATTTTTAGAAAGTATATCGACCGTTTTTGAGACTTTTTGGCCATGTGTTGTATGTGGGTGCTGAAGTTCAGTCTCTTGTCTATGTATAAGTTAAGGCACTTTCCCCTCATTTTTATTGCTAACATCACAACCATGATTGATCAGAAAAAGGACTTAGAAATGTTGATCCACCAATCATTGAAAATTACTCAACAAGTGTGAGCTACAGTATAGAAGTTCAAGTACGTTTGAGACAAGAAAGAAATGCATCTCAAAGGGATAGAGTAGCTTAGGCTATTTCTACCCCTCAAGCCAACTAAGTCAAGATGCACTAGAAGAGGTATCAGGTGATTCCTGAGATAGTTTGTTTCTTCCCTATCCCCCCTATTCCTCACTCTTCTCTCCATCTATTCCCTTCCCCTATTCTCGCCCATTCCCCGTCCTCTTTCTTCCCCTGTCCCTACCATCTCCCGCTTCTATCCTCTCTCCCAACATAATAAGAGTGTCTGTATGGCTTTATAATTAATGAAATATTCACAAATAATTATCTGTTTACTTTGAATCTATGGGAAGGTGGTGGTTCAGCCTTCAATAGGAGGGGCAGTGGGAGGAGTGGTGGCTGTATTGAACTTATGTATTTTATGGGGCTACAGCTAAAGTATGAATAACAAAATTCCAGTAAAGTTTCTAAACTTCAGGGAATAATGTTTTACATTAATACCAGAAAAAAATAATTGTTTTTAATTTGTTTTTCAAAATATTTAGCCAAACATGGCCGGTAGGCAGTGCTAAAAATTGCCCGGAGGCCTGAGACTGACTGACAGACAAAACACAGTTATTCTCTCTTATAGATACAGATTAATAATTAGTAATTCCATAGAGGTAAAAATTAATGAAATAGTAACAATGAGCTTTAAAAAAAAAAAATGGAATCCTGTTGCTTATTTACGTGATATGTATTGTTTTACTATTAACAAAAACATATGAGAGTGATTGAAATAAATGAAATCTTTTTGAAAGCTTGTTAAAAATTATTTAATTATTATTTTTTTTACAAGATAATTGAAAAATAACATTTTATAAATAGTATTTTACTGTATAGAGATGTGAACGTGAAATTATAATATGTGGTTCATATTACATAAAACTAAATAAATTAAAGAAAATTAAGTTTATTTTGGGCTCAGTGAGACTTGCTGCTGCATTATGATAGATATTTTATATCAGGCTTGTATTTGTTATTTTAGAACCATGCATGCAGCACTATAGTTTCATCAGTAAGTCTACTCCTATAATTAAGACTTGACAAAGTTCATCACTGAAAACAATGACTCACATGAATATGTAGATGAAAAACTGTTAATACTGCCATTGCGAGATTTTTCAGAGAGTTAAAAGTTTCAGCCATGGAATTCCAGAGTTTCAAAGCCTTATTTTCTGCAATTTTCTACATTAATCGTCACTTAAGCGATTTTGTTTCAATATTTTCTAGTTCAGTTCTTAAGTTGGCAAAATTTTTGGCTTGAAATGATGCTGCTAGTTCAAGTTCAAGTTCAAGTATGTTTATTGAGACAAGAAAAAAATACATCTCAAAGGGATAGAGTAGCTTAGGCTATTTCTACCCCCCTCTACTTCAAGTCCCTCAAGGGGCGCACAAATTCAGTGAGTACAGATACACAAAT